GATTTTAAAAAGAAACTATTCTATCATTTAATACTTTATATTCTATATCCTATATTAAACTAAAAGCTCTAAAACAATAATTAAAGGAAAATCTTAAGAAAGGATTTATTCGATCAAGCTTTTTTTCTATTATATCACCTATTTTGTTTATTAAGAAAGCTAATAAAAACCTTCAATTTTATATAAACTATTATATCCTAAATAATTTGTTTATTAAAAATTAATATCCCCTACTACTAACAAAAGAATCCTTAAACAATTTGAAAAGAATAAAATATTTTAATAAGATTGATATCATTTCTATCTTTAATAATATAAGAATAAAAGAAGAATAAGAATACCTGATTGTATTTTATATTTGATTTAATCTATTTGAATCTTTAATTATACTATTCAGACTAATAAAAGTATCTATAATCTTTTAAAGGTATATTAACAATTCCCTATAAGAATACCTAAATGTATTCTGTACTGCTTACCTAAACAATATCCTAATATATAATCAAATCTGGAAGGAATATATTTATTATATTCATGTTACGGGAGCTGCCTCTAGGGTCACGTGGAAGTGGCTAGAGATCTCTCGAGGTGGTTTAGACTAAACTTCAAGTAGGAATTCAATAAGGTTGGTAACTGGTTGCAATTCTCGTAACTATAGTAATGGAACTAATGATTGTTCTTGAGCACGAAGCTCCATATTATAATGAAACTCATTCTGTTATATAGACCTTCGTCCTCTGGAGCCCCTGGGATCCGTATGCTCCTGGAGCCCGCAGCTCCCCAAGGCTCCCTCACGTGACACGCGGATGTGTCATGTGATGTCTGTCGTAACAATTCAAAAGGTTTTATAGGTATTAAGAGAAGTCAGTCTATTTGTTAAATTCGAGAAGTATAAATTTCTGAAATCCAAAACCAAGTTTTTAGATTTTATTATAAAAAAAGATAATATTTAAATGGATTTAGAGAAAATCTGAACAATTATAAATTGGAGATTATTTATTATTATAATTAATATTTAAGTATTTATTAGGTTTACAAATTTTTATTAATAATTTATTAGAGACTTTTTAAAGATAATCAATTTGATAATAAACCTGATTAGAAAGAATGTTCTATTCCTATGGAGTTCTGTTTATTAAGATGTATTCGATTGATTAAAGAGAGTGTTTATTGAAGCTTTTATTCTAACTTCTTTTGATTAAAAGAAAGAGGTGATTTTGAAAACCGATGCCTTTGATTATGTATCTGTTAAAGTCCTTTTTCAATATAATAATAAAGGGATATTAAAACCTATTACATTTTTCTTTAAAAAATATTCAATAATCGAATATAATTATAAAATTTATAATAAAGAATTGCTAACTATTATTCATTATTTCGAGGAATAGCGTCCCAAATTAGAAGGTACTGTGTCATTAATCCGGGTAATCATTAATCATAGAAATTTAGAGTATTTTATTACAACAAAGTTACTAAATTGTTGTCAAGCCTATTAATTCGAATTCCTATCCCGATTTAATTTCCGAATTACTTATCGCCCCGAAAAGCTAGATATTAAACCCAATACATTAACTAAAAGATTAGAAGATCTCTTTAAAAAAAGAGATGAATGTTTTTTATATTAAAATTATACTATTTTGAAATAAGAAAATCTAGAGTCTGATTTGTTTTTTATTATTATTACTTCGATTGAAATCAAAATTATTAAAAAAATGTAATTTACTATAATTACTTATAATTAAAAAAACTTCAATCCTATTGATATTATTAATTATTTACACTTTAATACTAAAATAACTTTACTAGAAAATAATAATGTTATAGAACCTACTATTTTATTTATTATATCTACATCTAACCCTACAATATTAATAAAAAATTCAAAAACTTTTTTAAATCTTTTTAACAATCTATTTACCTTATTCTATAAAGGTTATCAAGTTGATTCTATACTCAAATCTATTCTAAAATCCTTATAAAAAGGATCCCTGAAATACTTGAAAATCACTTTTATTGAATATACTAAGAATAACAACCTACTATATTACTAAGGAAAATTATACATTCCTAACTACAACCCCCTAAAAACCCACTTACTCCATCTGTACTACGAATCTCTTACTACTGGTTACTCACATTGTACTTAAACCTTTAAATTACTATCCCAAGATTATTACTAACCTAAATATTATAATTACATTATATAATAGATTTATAATTATTATAATTGTCATTATACCGCCCCAAACTATAGAGACTAAAAAGAAGTTCTCCATTCATTCCCAATTTTATAAAGAGTTTAATAAAATATCTTAATAAATTTTATTATATACCTATCCAAAAGTATTAATTTCAATACTATTATAGTAATAATTAATTGACTAACAAAAATAAAACATTTCTTACTCTATTATAATATTTACAACTTTGAAAAGATTGCCCACCTATTTCGAAAGAATATCTAGAAGCTTTATAGCCTATTATTAATAATTATATCTAATTGTAGTACTCAATTCGTATTCGAATTCTGAAAGCATATTTGTAAGCACTTGAACATTATTACTAAACTATTAATTACTTATTATTTTAAAATTGATAAATAAATTGAAAAAGTTAATATAATATTAAAACAATATCTTTAATTATGTATAACCTATTTATAAAATAATTAAATAAAATGATTCTTATTTGTCGAATTCTTTATTAATAATATTTAATTCGAAAGCATTTAAATAACACCATTCTTTTTTAATTATAGATTTCATTTTCATTTAAGCTTCGAATCTATATTGTTCTAAAATACTCATCCCATTATATAAAATACTGAAGAGTTTGTTGCTAAAATGAAAACGATTTTGTTGTACTTATAAACTAAACTAACCACTAATCAAACCCAATATTTGAAGAATATTGATACCTATTGTTCCCCTACTTGTAAATACCTGTCTGATAACCTGGTCTAACTAAATACTAAAAACATTAAGACTCTACGCCTATAAAAGAAACTCGATTGAAAGAACCTTAAGCCCTTTAAAATTCTGAACCCGATAAACTCTTATACCTATAAACTAAAACTTTTTGTTTTGATAAGGATTCACCTTGTTTTTTATATCAATCTGCTATATTCTATATATAACGATTCTATTCTTAAATAATATAATCCATTATTACTGCCTATTGAAATCGATAACTTAAAACAATTTAAAGCCATTAAGATCTTGAACTCCCATTAAAAAAGGAAAGGTTATGAAAAACCTTATCTAAAATATATTATCTATTAGATTAACTATAAAACATTAATTAAAGAATCTATAAGCTATTTAAAGAATATATAAAAACTAATTTATAATTTCTATTAAAGATATTCTAATAAACCTGAACCTACCTAATTGAAAACTATTTGTCTATATTCCACCAAATTATAATACCCTTGCCTCAATAAAGTTCAGCTTTTAAAAAAAGGATAATGTTATAGTATAGAATTATATAATAGATTGATTCTATCAAATAAAATCAAAATAAACATTTACATTAGAACCCAAATAAACTAAGACTCGATCAAGCTAGTTTGCTTATAAAAATTCTATATATCTTCAATTTAGAAGATCTTGTATTATAGCTCTTCAAGTTATATCTTAATTCTAAAATCTAAATCTATTACCTGAATCGCTATAACTTTGTTATATTAGGGCAAAGTTACTGGAGTCTTATTCTTGCCTGCCGGCCCCGTGATAAAAAAAGCGATTTTTGGTGTAAAAAGGTGGTCCAAAATAGGAGTGGCTTGAAAGTAGGGTGGTCGATTTAGTAATCTTCTTTTACGGTCGCTTGTAGAAATAGGATCTGGATTCATATTGAGATTCGAATGGTATGTGATTTGGTCTTGTCAGATTATTCAAGACGGAACTGATTGAGATATATACAAAATGAACAACTTCATGATAGCAGTTGTAGTCCAACTGTTTGTGTGACAACAGAAGTCTTCTTTGAAAATTGACCGATATTGAATGAAGTATCTAATCGAGGAACATTGTTTACTGCACCTGCTTGGGCGGGGGATTTCTAACTGTATATATCGAGGTAGGTATGCAGGTTTACGGCAGTGATTATCCATACACTAGCACTTATAATTACCAATGTTAATATCAAGCTAGTTGTACTGAGGAAACAAATCGTTGTTATACAGTTGCTTTCTTGTGACTCTTCATGATGAACAATCTTTGGAAAATTACATAAGAAGCCAAGTTGCTCGACTGTGAATATTCTCAAACCAGAGATGGAAGACCGACGACCTAGTAGTCGATCCGAATTGCCAATTAGAGCCTTTTGTATGAACTTGATTCGCTTATGTGAAATGCGGTTCGAGAGGGGATCCAGTAGAACGGAATGGCCGGGATACTGATACCACTCTAATGGAATTATATATATGCTAGAAGCACATTTTTTTGAGTAGACCTAGATAACGCCAGGTTAAATTTCAATATTGGAAAATCAGTCTTGGTGTTTTTTGATCCACTAAATTGACTGTACTATTTGATATTGAATTTTAAAAGGAGTGGATGTTTTATTTTTCGAGTTTTTCGTCCGGCCAGAGGGAGATCCAATTCATTAATAAAGGAGGTAATTTCCCTGGAGAACCAATATCGTGGCTTGTCTTAACAAGTGGTGAATTTCTTGTCGCGGTGTGTAATAACATTCAATATCTTTTCCCCGCTGTGCCATTTTCAATGACTTCTAATCTTGAAGCATTGAATGTTGTGAATAGAATCCAATGAGAAGAATAACTTTTCATCCACAACCCATGGATGCGAGTGGATCTGTTGAAGCCTGAGGCAAAAATAGAACTAAAAAAGACCCTGGACCTGCTCCCCCACATCGGCCATGGTAAAAAAAAAAAAGTTTAAGATAATATTTTGAACCCCAAACTTCAACTTTTTTCTCTTGTCATTCCTTTTCAATCATTTTCAATATTTGCATGCGATACGTGTAAATATACCTTGAAAATGGATCAACAACAATTCTTAGAGCTCTTACAGGGCGTTCAGATTCGTAGGTTTCCAGAAAATCGCAGAATACCCCTCCATTTGCTAATCTTCCCATCATTACAGCTGATACGGAGCGTGTCAAGGCAGCAACCACAGAATTACGAAAGAACTATTACCCAAACCCAGAATCCCTTCTCTGGCTCATCGAGATCTTCATCGCTCATGGAGATCAAGCCATTAGACAACAAGCCGCCGTCGAGGCTCAACGCTTGGTCAAGAAGCACTGGAAAAATATTTCCGATGCCCAAAAACAACAAATCCGAGAACAACTCCTACAAAAGACACTGAACGAGGAGGTCAAATTGGTTAGACACTCCGGTGCTCGTGTCATTGCCGCTATCGCAGGCCAAGATATCGAGAACGGACAATGGGCCAACCTTCCAGATACTCTTGCACAAGCCGCAAGCTCTCCTCAAGTCTCACATCGTGAGGTCGGAGTTTTCATTCTCTTTACCTTACTCGAGACTGCTTCACCATACTTCGCCGAGCAAACTGCTGTTTTGTTCTCCATTCTCAGCAAAACCATTCACGACCAAGAGAGCACTGATGTTAGAATCAACACTTTGATCTGCCTTGGTGCCGTTGCTACCATGATCGAGCCGGATGAGGACCCAGAAAGTTTGAAACTCTTCCTTGAAATCTTCCCACAAATGGTCATTGTCTTGAAGAACTTCATTGATTCCAAGGAGGAGGACCGCACTGTACAAGCTTTCGAGGTTTTCCAAACTTTGTTAGGTTGTGAATCAGCATTGATCGCACCTCACTTCAGAGACCTCTGCAACTTCATGCTTGAGGTTGCCTCGAATACCAACAACGAAAACGACGCCAGAACTCAAGCTTTATCTTTCATCATGCAATGCACCAGATATAGAAAGATGAAGATTCAAGGCACCAAGGATTTGGGTGAGAAGATCACCATGACCAGCATGCAAATCGCTACCGAGCTCGAGGACGACGATGATGAGGACGATGAGACTTCTCCAGCTCGTTCTGCATTGGGTCTTCTAAGTTTACTTGCAGAAAGCTTGCCACCCCGTCAAGTTATCGTTCCACTTCTCAATGCTCTTCCACAATTCTCCAACCACCAAGACCCAAGATACCGTCAAGCTGGTATCCTTGCACTCGGTATGTGTGTTGAAGGTGCACCGGATTTCGTCGGCACTCAAATGGATAGTTTCTTACCCATTGTCTTCAAACTGCTCGAGGACCCAGAAAGTGGTGTCAGACATGCAGCTCTCAACGGTGTTGCAAGATTGGCAGATGATCTTGCCGAAGATCTTCAAAGCACTCACGAGCACCTCATCCCTGCTCTTCTCAAGAACCTTGATGCTGCTATGCAATATGCAGCTGGTGGAAATAACGACAAGCAAACTCTTGATACCATGAAGGCATCATGTGGTGCTTTGGACTCCTTGACTGAGGGTATGGATCAAGAAATTGTCAAGAACTACCTCCCAACTCTTGTCCCACGTCTTACTCAATTGTTAGACCACCCAGATGTTGGTGTCAAATCTGCTGCCGCAAGTGCTATCGGTTCTCTTGCTAGCTCCGCCGAAAAGGAATTCCTTCCATTCTTCAAGGATACCATTGAAAAACTGGCTCAATTTGTTGAATTGAAGTCGAGCAATGATGAACTTGATCTCCGTGCTACTGTCTGTGACTCCATTGGTAGCATGGCATCAGCTGTCGGTGCTCAAGTCTTCCAACCTTATGTCAAGCCATTGATGCAGGCAAGTGAAGAAGCTTTACATCTCGACCATCCACGTCTCAAGGAAACCAGTTACATTCTCTGGAGTACCTTGGCAAAGGTTTACGAGGAGGAATTCACACCTTTCCTTGAGGGAGTCGTCACTGCTTTGGCTGCATGCTTGGACCAGGAAGAAGACAACCTTGAGGTTGAGCTTGGTGAGCATGCTCAAGACTTGCTTGGCCAAGAGGTCATTCTCGCTGGAAAGAAGGTCAAGGTTGCTGGTGCCACAGATGTTGAGGAGGCCGATGACATGGATGACGATGATGATGATGAAGACTGGGATGATCTCACCGCAGTTACCGCCGTTGCAATGGAGAAGGAAGTCGCCGTCGAAGTCATTGGTGATATCCTTACACATACTCGTCAACACTACATGCCTTACTTTGAGAGAACCATCGAGGCTATCTCTCCATTGGTTGAACATTCTTACGAAGGTGTTAGAAAGACTGCCATCAGCACAATGTGGAGAGCATACGCTTGCCTTTACAGCATGATGGAAGACAAGACCGGAACAAAGTGGACTCCTGGTTTGCCTTTGGCAATTGAGCCAACTCCTGAGTTGGTCAGAATGGGAGAAATTGTCACAACTGCTACAATGTCTCTCTGGGAAGATGAATATGATCGGTAAGCTAAATTTCTCTTCTTTTTCCTAGTACCTGAAATGATGAACAACATGACGTTATACCCAGCTCACTCAGATGCACAAATTGCACATGCTGCGAACACGTATCTACTTCTGATCATTTTTATTGCCATTTGTTTGTACGAATTTCTTCAAAGAATATATCTAACATTGTGTAATAGTGGTGTTGTTACTGATATCAACCGCAACGTTGCTTCTACATTGAAGCTTTGCGGGCCAGCTATTTTGGCTCAACCAAACTTTGCTGAATCCATCAAAAACGTCATCTTCAGCGTCATCATGCGTCTTCACCCTTGTCAACAAGATCTTGGTGATGAACTTGAGTCACCTGATGAGGAAGATGCTGAATCTTCCGAATATGATTGGCTCGTCATAGATACCGCTCTCGACCTTGCTTCAAACCTCGCTCTCGCCCTTGGAGCTCAATTTGCCGAGATTTTCAAGGAGTTCGAGAAGCCACTCAAGAAGTTTGCTTCTTCCAACACTCCATTCGAGAGATCTACCGCCATTGGCGTCATTGCTGAAATCACTGGCCACATGGGATCAGCCATTACCCCATTCACTGCATCCCTCTTGCCAGTTCTCCTCAAACGTCTCTCTGATACCGACCCCGAGGCAAAGTCAAATGCCGCATATGGTACCGGTCTCTTGATCTTCCACTCCCAAGATAGCGCCACTTACCTCCCATCATACAACAACATCCTGAGCAAACTGGAGCCTTTACTTCAGACCAACCACGCCCGCTCCATTGATAACGCCTGTGGATGCGTCTCCCGTATGATTATGGCCCACCAAGATGCTGTTCCACTCAACGATATTCTCCCAGTGATGGCTGGATTATTACCTCTCAAGGAAGATTACGAAGAGAATGAGCCAATCTTTGAAATGATTGCTGGACTTTACAGTCAAAGCAACCAAACAATTTTGCAACTCACTCCAAAATTGATTCCAGTATTCGCTGCCGTCCTTGGTGAGCCAGTCGAACAATTGGAGATTGAAACTAGAGAGAAGGTCAAGGGTGTTGTTAAGTTCATTGGTGGAAGTCACCCAGAACTGTTGAACGGACACCCATCATTGCAAAACTTGTAATTTCATATTTAAGGACTTTCTTTAGGATTAATTTGGTGGAATGGACTTCTGATTGATAAATGTATTGGTGTCGAACTGATTACGATACTATATATTTGGTCTGAAAGAATATCGGAATGGATAGATCGATGGGAAGGAAATGAAAGGTTTTTTAAGTTACGACGTGATGAACATACCCCCAATGCACGAAATGAAGGATGTAGATGAATAGATAGAATTATATTACATGTAGGCAGAATGAGAAATTCTGTTTTGTTTTAAATCATTTTTGGGCATAATTGATTACATTGTTCGATTGAGTTTTCTTCAATTTTATGATTAGCATGTGTACGTTGATTCATATCTTTTATGGGGGCAAGCCCCCAGACCCCCAGTCCTCGCTGTGCTCGAATAATTGTAGGGGGTAACGACCTCCTTTAAGGCTCCTTCCTATTTTGAAATTGAGAAAATTATGGATCAATCAAGAAAGCTTTTGGGCAAATTTAATTCAATAAACAAAACCTCGCGTCATTCGTAACCTGATCGAATCAGATTCCACCTACCCTCTATATATAGAGATCTCGCTACCAAAATAGTGCGCTGTGCTTCGGGGATGACAACATTGGGCGGTGTTATGCTCCGATTTCGGGAAAAATGTTATCGTCAAATACTTCAATCGCTCCGTGTGCCTCGCTGGCTGCGCCGTCGGTACCGAAATATTGAATAGAATTACTCGTGTTGCAGATTGTGAATGTGGAGTTGTTAATTACCCAGGTAAGGGCTGGGCTGTGTTTTCTTAAAGAAGTCTTTGCGGGGAAGATCAGGTTTGGGGGCGGGATTGTTTCGGGTCTTATATTGTGGGTTTTGCATGGGTGTGTGGCTCAAGTGAACTTGTTTATAAGGATTACTGATCTTGATAAAACCTAACAAATGCCCGTGTAATACCTTCGAGCATCTATCCAATTCTGTTTCGTGGAGAAGATATCCCAGACCCTCTAGATATTTTTTCAAACAGAGGCTCTCCCAAAGCTGCACTCTCAATCACTTATTCACAGGGATTTATACCCAGAGTGGAAACCCATCAAGGGAGGGGTGGGGTCGAGAAGAAGCTCTTTTTAGATTCTGCATCAGTTTAGAAATTTCAATGCAACGTAAGAAATGCGCAGCTCTTTTATTCATCTCTCGGTTAGATCCTACGTATCACATTAGGATAAGCTGCATAACGAGGTTGTCAGGCTCTTGCGTGAAGGATGTGGCACGTAATTTTTCGTGATAAATTATTTGGGGGCGGAATGGAGGCTTTATAGATTGAAATGGATGGTACTGTGGTGTACTAGATTTCCTTTCTTGTTAGTTTCTGGGTCATTTGGATCGATTGGTTTGATTCTTGTCTCGCCTAAGAAGCTTTGATATTTATTTAGACGAAAATGTTGTTTCGCTACGAGAGTTTAGCTTCGTTATTGGCCTGTGTTGAGGCTGTCGCGGCTTTATATAGCAGTAATGTTAAGATCTCTCAGCGAGATTTTTCTTCGAGGAAAACGAATAGTTTGGGGGCTATTAATGTGCGTTCGGCGGAACAAAAACGAGGAGGCGCGAATTTTAAACTGAGTTTGGTGTGTACGCATCATTATGCTGATCGTAAGTTTTGTTCTTCTCTTATCACCTACCATCTTTGAAATTGGATTGCTTGGATACCGATTGCGTACCGAGATGCGAGAGGAATGTTTCATGGCTTTTTGTCATGAGATGTTAGACACTAATGAGACATAGATGATTCAATTATTCGAGGAACACATTCGAGATTTGCATCCACATCGATGAAATATAACTTACCTGCTGTCAGTTTAGAAGATATCGAACTTACGGTCAAGAATATTATATGTTCAAAGTCAACTATTATCGTTGAATTCCCTTCTGCGAATTTATTAGTTGAGGCAGAGAAAGAATGGAAAGATTTCTCGCGATTTTTAGTCATTTCATCACATGCCGGGTGTAATGACCAGAATTCGCGGGCTCCTTATTTGTAAGTGACATCAGTAGTAATGTCTCGAGACTTGTTAACAAGTATAATAGAGTGTCCAAGGTGGAATACGTTCTCAAATCCAATACCGCCATCCTCTCCGTGCGACGTATCGAATGGAGCAAAGCATACGATACAATGGAAGTAAAATTCGGCATGCGCAAATACGATAGTAGCGCCCTTCGTATACATAGTGATTTGCGCAAACGAATTACTTCAACAGTCTCAGTATCATCTTCTGAAACTATTTCTTTTCCTTCAGCGCCATCGGCAACACCAACCTCAGATACATCGGTTCATGATATTGGATACTCGGTACCTGCGGGTTTTAATCTTGGAAGTTTCTCAACTTCGTATGTTTTTTCTTTTTCTTTATCTTTGAATAATTAATTCGATGACTAACAAATGTAATTAGAACTGATGGTACAGGTGGATCTTTATCAATAAATTGTGGTAATTGTTCAATTGAAGGTTCAATCGAATTAACTCAGGGTGTCTTTACAATTAGCGACTCCTCGCTCGATGCAAAAAAAGCAGTGAATTTTGTAGAGAATGGCTATTTCGACATGGAAGTCAATGGATTAGGTGCTCATATCGAGATTGATTCTGCAGTTGCGGGAACATTTACGGAATCTTTCACTATGGAACTGATGACGTTGGCTTTACCGGGTTTTCAGGCATGTCACCATTTTACCCTACATCCCTTCGACCACGGGATATGTCTCTCACTGCTATTCTAACAAATCTTCTAGATCCCAGATATCGCAGCAACAGGACCGATGTGGACACCCGCAATTCAAGGTTCTATCAGTGTCTCTAGGAATCTAAACTTCACTTACGGTTTCGACGTTTCCGTCCCAGATAAATCCTCCATCCGTCTTAACATTGGTAATCTTACCGAATCAACTTCTTCTAGTTTCAGCGACTCCGCTATCACTACTCTTCCCCTCACTGCGACCGATCCCTCTATTTCCCTAACTCTCTCACTCGCCCTTCATTCCGAACTCCTCCTCGGTGTCAACATACTATCAGGCAAAGGTTCCATAGCCGCAGGCGCCCTCCTCGATCTTCCTGCTCTCTCCGTTACAATCTCCGAACTCACCTCAGTAGACGAAAATTGCAATCCAGCTCAAAACTCCTCCTCAAGTGTCAACAATCTGGACTATTTCTCCTCTCTCACAAACATCGTTCCACAAGCGGATATAGCGATAGGACTCCAAGCTGGTATTCAATTGGCAATTCCGGATCTACATTTTGTGGAAAATGTAGGAACGACGGTTACGCTTGCTGGAACGAGTATGTTGCTTCCGACGCAGTGTATGAGTTTTGATGGGGGGAAGAAGGAATTCGTTACTCCTAAGGCTACTGGAAGCTCGAGTTCGAGTTTGAGTACGGGTACAGTGGGAAGTTCGAAGAAGTCGAATGCAGTGAAAATGGTTTCCGTGCCGGTGCTGGGGAGTGGAGGGTTTGGAGGGCTGTCAGGGTGTGTGGTTTTTTTTGGCGTTGGGGTTATGATGATGATTGAATGATTTTTATATCTTGGGTAATGAAGTGCAAGGGAAATTCGATATGAGTTTGTGGTCATAGCTGATGTCATCGATTGGTAAACTCGCTTGGATGTTTCCTCAAAACTAGACTGTTGTCATGATTTATGTCTGTGAAAGCGGACAATTAAAGCACAGAGTTCTGAGAAGACTTCGCAGTTTTAAATTTAGATGTAGGCGAATGCAAATAAGACAGTATGCCAAGAGGTCTAGGTCTATGTCTGTGGATTGATTCCAAACGATACAACATAGAGGATGTCATCCACGGAGGAATCAGACAAGGATGGTCTAAAAATGAAGCAGAGACCAGGACTCTTAGCTTGGTAGAATGCTGGTTCGATAGTTCGAGCTGGGAGATTTTCTCCAGGAATGATGAGGCGTTTGCTGTTCTCTTTGTGGTCTAACGGGCGGAGTAGAGTTTTTGTTCAAGAACATCAGGTTACTCGTTCGATTCCTCAATGAAACCCGATTAAAAGTCAAGACTCAGTCGTGTTAGTCCTTAAGTTATGGACTCGTGATATTTGTCAGGTGTTGTAAGGTAGAAATACCGAAACATTTAATTGTCGACGGAAAGAATTGTGGATATGGATATTGTCCAATTGGAGCATTTACTTGCTACGCTATGGGTAAACAAGCAACCTTACCTCCTTCTGTTGGCGTCAAGGGATATCCAAAAGCTGGCGAATCTGAAGACTACGCAGGACTATGCGCATTTGCTTGTGATCTCGATTATTGTCCTGACACAGCATGCGGAATCGTGTCAGATCCTCTCTACGCCAAGTGTATCTCCTTTCGACCCTTTGGCTTGTACTAGTGGGCTCGGAGTTGGCAATCTAGGTGGTCTTTGCGATTTTACTTGTAACTTTGGCTATTGCCCACTGCATTCATGTAGTTGTGGTAGTAAAGGAAACCTGGCAGCGTTACCTTCATACACTCCCATGGTTGCCAAGCCAGCTTCAGGTCTCGATGAATCTACCTACGGAGATTTGTGTCAATTTGCTTGCGAGTATGGGTTCTGCCCACCTGAAGCATGTGGGACTTCCACAGAAGCATCGGAAACAGTTTATGTCGACCAAATTATTTTTGTTGAACCGAGTCCAGTATTTGTATGCCCACCACCATGCACGTTTGTTATGCCATCATCAACTATGAACTCTGAGACAGTTATAACATTCCCACCTATCTCAAAGTCGACAGTTGTTGGTGGATCTACACTATTATCTTGTGACCCCTTCTCCAAGCAGGTCAATTTTTCTCCTTTATAGTAATTTACTAACATTCTCTTTAGTGACCACTTCAGTAATGAGTTTCTGTGATAAGTCAACTACCCCACTTTCCGACCACCCCCTCTTTTCGACCACCTCAAAAACCACACCGCTTTGAGTAATTATAAAATTTATACTTTGAATAACTCAACAATGCTTTAATCAATTGATTTGAAATTTTGATATTATTATAATTGTGATATGAAGAATAGATATACCGAAGAAGATATCGCAGAGGCTCTTAGAGCGATTACAAATGGAGCAAGCATACGAAGAGCTAGCTTGGATTATGGTGTTCCACGTACCACACTTCACGATCGAATATATGGTGGAGTTTCGCATCAAAAAGGCGCCCAAATACTTCAAAAGTTATCTCCAATTCAGGAGAATCGACTAGCAGAATGGATATTAGTACAGGAAGCTCTTGGTACTAGCCCTACACATCGTCAAATCAGAGAGATGGCAGAGCACCTCCTTATTGTACGAGGGGAGGATCCCTCACTTGGAAAGAAATGGATACATAGCTTTTTTCGAAGGCATCCTAATATTGGAACTAAGAAGCAACATCAAATCGATTCTGCACGAGTTTCAGGTGCTACATCTGATATTATTAAGAAGTGGTTCCGGAACCTCGCAATCCCTGAAATCAAGGCTATTAAGCCGGCCAACAGATGGAATATGGATGAAGCAGGTATAATGGAGGGTCAGGGTCTTAATGGACTAGTAGTAGGAAGCACTGATCGAAGATTTATTCAAAAAAAGCAACCTGGATCTCGAATTTGGACCTCTTTTATAGAATGCATTTCAGCCAATGGAAAAAGCATTACTCCCCTTGTAATATATAAGGGAAAATCAGTTCAACAACAATGGTTTCCAACAGATTTGACTCTATTCAAGGGTTGGAACTTTACCGCTACAGAAAATGGATGGACTACAGATGCTACAGCTTTAGAATGGCTGAAAAAGATCTATATCCCTCAAACTACCCCTATTCAGCCGGAAAATTCAAGACTCCTCATTTTGGACGGACACGGAAGCCATGAAACTACAGCATTTATGTTAGAATGCTTTAATAACAACATATATCTCTTACTTCTCCCACCACATACGTCACACGTACTACAACCACTCGATTTATCTGTGTTCTCACCCCTAAAAAGTGCATATCGAATCGAACTTAATAAATTAAGTCTATTATCCGATTCCTCACCAATTGGAAAGCGCAATTTCCTTTCTTGCTATCAGAAGGCTAGAATAGAAGGTTTAACTATTCAAAATATCAAGTCTGGGTGGCAAGCTAGTGGTCTTTGGCCCAAAAATATGGCTAAACCTCTTATGAGTCGACTTTTGCTTGAAAATAGCAATAGAGAGGTTTTATCACTTAATCCTGAATCTGATGATGATCCTATTCTTCAATGGAATATATATTCATCGTTTATTCAATGGAAAACCCCTCAAAAAGGAGCCGATATCAGAAAATATAGAGATATAATGATTCAAGAGAAGGAGATCGATTTGCCAACACGAAGATTACTATTTCGCAAGATTATAAAAGGATTCGATGCTAAGGATTATGAACTCTTAGAGGCAGAGAATAAGATTAGAAAGCTAGAATATCAATTAGATGAAGCATTACCTAGAAAAAGGCGAAAGGTTGTGGTATCTCCAAATTCGAAGTTCGCAGGGATTAGAGCTATAAGGCGTACACAAATTGAAGCTGGAGATCGTGAAGATGAGGTAGATGATAGCTCTAGTGCTATAGAAAGTGATTCTACAGGCGATTTCATTGAAGTTCAATAGTTATTGAGTTATTAAAGTTTTAAGTGTAGATAATATGAATTTTTTAGGTGGTCGGAAACAGGGGGTGGTCGGAAAGTGGGGTAGTTGACTTAATTCATACTTTCGCTCAATGAGACGCGTGCGAAACGCGTCAAACCAAGCCTGAATATTCTCCGGAGTTGCTTCTTTAGCCCGATTAGACTCTAATTGACGTGAATAGCATGTTTTAAGTTCTGGATGTCGTTTTTGGAATCTATAGATCCATTCGTGGCCTATAGGTGGAATTTCTGTCGAGGTAGGATTTCGAGATGACGCGACCCGAACGCGTCGAAGACGAATTTCGTCGGCCATTTCCTTCACCAACATAGGTGTAGCAGGGAATCCAGTGATGGTAAGTCGTGAAATCCATCGTACAAGAGTATTTTCTTCTGCGTTTGAAAGAATTTGAGCCATTTCGTGGGTTTGGGAACGTGTTTTCTTCCCAGCCAGCCTATCAGCTAGGGTAGACTTAGGGACTTCAAAATGCTCTGCAGCCTTTCTAATTGATTTAAATTCTTTCAATTGAAGTGAAATTATAGCCTTTTGAAGCTTCTCTTCAATTTGAGCAGATGTAGAAGGTGATTGGGTATGCATAATAAAAGTTATTGCGGTTTCAAGTTGGTGATGGGCTAAAAGTGTCCGAGTTCCCCATATGTCCGAGTTCCCCATACGTTACGTTAACATATTTTATCATCAAGTAAATTATATCACCGAGTGGATCACTTTCACCTTAATTCTTAATCTTTTACTTCAATACACGTTTTATTAATTAATTAAAATGTAATCGAATAATAAAGAAGCTCGAATACTCTTAATTATTGAAGCTATTCAAAAAGATAAAAAACTTAATATTCGAAAAGCTGCTAAGCTATATAATTTATTATATACAATACTCAATTATAGAATAAATGATTTTATTCTTTGCATTGAAATTCGAGCGAATTATTATAATCTTATAGAATTAAAAGAAGAAGTGATTATTCAATATATACTTGATATGGATTCAAAAGGATTTTTATCTAAATTTAAAATGGTGGAAAATATAGCGAATCATATTCTTAAATCAAAGAATACAAAATATATTGAAAAGCTCTAGATATATCAATTCATAAAATATCGAATCGAATTAAAAATATATTTTAATTATATTTATAAGTTTCAAAAAGCTTTTTGTAAAGATCCTAAACTTATTAAGAAATAGTTTCGATTAGTTTCGAATATGTAAGCGAAATATGATATTTTTAATTATGATTTCTACAACTTTAATAAAACAGGCTTTATAATGGGTATAATATACTCCGGAATGGTAGTAATTAATACTAAACGAAATAAAAGAAGCAAGACAATATAAACAGGCAATAGGGAATAGGCTATAGCGATTATATATGGTAATCAGAAGAATGAAACTATACCTTTATTTCTAATAGTTCAAGAATAGATTTATTTTTCTAATTGGTATATCGAAATCGATTTTCCTATGGATTGAGCTATTAAACCTATATCTAATGGATAAATAAATAATGAAACAGGTTTAGAATGGTTGAAATATTTCGATAAGTATATTAAGAATTAAAAAAAGGGTAAATATCGAATATTAGTATTAAATAAATATGAAAACTATGAATTAAAAGCTTTTCAAGTATATTATAAAAAGAATGATATTAAATATATATGTTTATTATTGTATTCAAGTTATTTGATTCAATTATTTGATGTAGGTTGTTTTAGTAATCTGAAATGTTTATATGGTATTCAGATTGATGGATTTATTAAGGTATATATTAATTATATTTCGAAAGTTGAATTCTTTATAGTTTTTAAAACTATATATGAGGAATCAATTATTTTTCAGAATATAAAATCAAGATTTCAAAGAATAGGTTTAATTCTATTTAATTCTGAAGCTATATTCTCGAAATTAGATATTCAAATTCATATACCTACCCCCTCCTTTTTCAATCTAAATTAATAAATCTCTTAAACCCCTCGTAATTTAATAGAAGCTTTTTCTCAATTAATATTAGTTAAATCTCGAATAACTCGTTATCAATCAAGCTCTCCTATATCTATATTCGAAACTATATTAACTCTAATTAAAAGTACAAAGAGATTAATTTATAAGAATATACTTTTAAATATAAAGAATTATATACTTCGAATAATAAATGAAATATTAAGCAAATATCAATACACAAAAAAAACTCAATTATATTAAGGAGAAGTACTTATTGAATAAGAGGCTTTTGATATATTATCTTAGTAAAAGGTTGATATTCAGATTTAATGTAGTAAGTGTTAAAAAGAGGGGAATTCTAATAAGGAAGTATTTTCTAATTGATATTATAATAAATACGGAAAGATAGAATATAATACAAAAATCTATTAAAATAATATAATAGATCCTAGATTATTAAATTCTTAATAGTTTTAATCAATTGATTCAATTATTGTTGAATAATATGGGTTTGAAAGTGTAAATTGAGATGAAAGTGGGCCATTCGATGATATAGGCCACTCGATGATAAACCACGTTAACTCTATTCAATTATATATAACGTAATTTATCAGCATGTGGGCCACTTTCACCTCAATTCATACTTTCGAATACAGATTATTCAACAACCATTATATCAATTGATTGAAATTATTAAAAATCTAGTAATTTAGGATCTATTATATTATTTTAACAAATTCTTGAATTATAACCTAGTTTTCCATATTTATTATAATATCTATTAGAAAATACTTCCTTATTAGGATTCCCTTTATTTTAATACTTGTTATGTTAAATCTGAATATCAATCTTTTATTAAAATAATATATTAAGAATCTTTTATTTAATAAGTACTTCTCCTTAATATAATTAAGTTTTTTTCGTATATTGATATTTACTTAATACCTCATTTGCTTTTCAAAGTGTATAAATCTTTATATTTAAAAGTGTATTTTTATAAGCTAGTCTCTTTGTACTCTTAGTTAAAACTAGTATAATCTCAAATAAAGGTATAGGGAAGCTTAATTGATAATGACTTATTCGAGATTTGATTAATGTTAATTAAAAAAGAACTTCAGTTAAATTATAAAAAGTTTAAAAGACTCATTAATCTAGATTGGAAAAGGGAAGAATAAATATATGAATTTAAATATCTAATTTCGAAAATATAGTTTTAGAATTAAATAATATTAAACCTATTCCTCGAAATCCTGATTTTATATTCTAAAAAGTGATTAATTCTTTATATACAGTTTTAAAAGCTATAAAGAATTCAACCTTCGAAATATGATTAATATATACCTTAATAAATCCATCAATTTGAATACTATATGAACGTTTCAGATTGCTAAATGTTACGACAGACATCACATGACACATTCGCGTGTCACGTGAGGGAGCCTTGGGGAGCTACGGGCTCCAGGAGCATACGGATCCCAGGGGCTCCAGAGGACGAAGGTCTATATAACAGAATGAGTTTCATTATAATATGGAGCTTCGTGCTCAAGAACAATCATTAGTTCCATTACTATAGTTACGAGAATTGCAACCAGTTACCAACCTTATTGAATTCCTACTTGAAGTTTAGTCTAAACCACCTCGAGAGATCTCTAGCCACTTCCACGTGACCCTAGAGGCAGCTCCCGTAACACTAAAACAGCTTATATCAAGTGATTGAGTTAAATGACTTGAATGTAATAATAAATATATACATTTAATATTATTCTCCTTACAATAGTTCTGAAATAATATTGATTTATGACTTTTATGCCCATTTAATACCAATATTCGATTTTTACTTTTTCTTCGATTCTTAATATATTTATCGAAATGTTTCAATTATTCTAAACCTATTTTATTGTTCGTTTATCTATTAGATGTAGATTTAATAGTTTATTCTACAGAAAGATTCGTTTTAGTATATTAATTAGAAAGATGAACCTATTCTTAAACCACTAAAAATAGGAGAATAGTTTCACCCTTTCTATTTCCATATATTATTACTGTAGTTCATTCCTGATTACCTAGTTGTACTGATTTACTTTCACTACATCTCTCAGCACTAATAACAATTATTTCTATACTTATAATCCTTATTATAAAGCCTGTTTCATCGAAATTATAGAAACCTCTATCCAAAATATCATATTTCACTCGTATATTCACAACCAATCAAAATCAGTCTTCAATAAGCTTAAAATCTTTACAAAGAGCTTTTTAAAAGTTATAAACACAATTAAAATGTGTCTTTAATTTAATTCAATATTTTATAAATCAATATACTCAAAGCTTCCTAATATATTTTATATCCCTTAATTCAAAATATAATTTACTATATCTTCTATATTCTTAATTTTAAATGAAAATCCTTTCGAATTTATATCGAGTATATATTCGATAATAATATTCTCTTTTAATTCTAAAAGATTATGAGATTTATATCGATATTCTATATAAAGAGTAAAATCATTAATTTTATATTATAATATTATATATAGAACATTATATATTTTAATAATCTTTTGAATGCTTAGTTTTTTGTCTTTTTGAATAGCTTCGATAATAAGGAGTATACGGGCTTCTTGGTTATTCGAATTCATTATAGATCGTTGATAAAACGCATATTGAAAGAGAAAAGTATGAATTGAGGTGAAAGTAGCCCACATACTGATATAGCCCACATGCTAATAAATTACGTTATATATATTGAAAACATATATTTTTGAGAATCAATATTTTATTAAATTAAGCATTTATTCTCCTTGAAATCTATTACTATTATTATTCCTAATAAGAAAAGATATATTTTGAAGATTTTCTATTTAATCAGATTCTCATTATATACTTCAATTCTTTAAAAATGATTAGGATTAATGAATTCGAAGAGGTTGAGTACTCCTAAGCCTAAAAATTCAAAGCTATATATCTTAAACTTAAAGTATATAATTTAAAAATTTGAAAAGTAATTAAACCTTTATCAACAATGTAGTTCTAATATTATTAAAGCTATTGAAAAAGCTAGCAGTATATTTAGCTTAATAAGATAATTCGAATAATATTATTCTTAATATTAGTATTAATAGATTAAAGTTATTAAAAATAATTTATTTAATTTCAAAAAAATTCTTCCAAATTATTCTATATTATTATCACAATTCTAATTAATTTAATACAGATTTAGATAATAGTATTAATTGAGCTCTTTTAAATACTCTAATTAGTTTTTCAATAAATAATAATTGAAAGAATAAAGTATATTATTAAAGTGCTTTTATTAAATAAATTCAATTCTTTATCAAAAATATAATTAAAAACTCTTAAACTCTTGAGAAGATAAATATCCCCCCAATCTTTAATTAATCGAAAAAATTTGATTATTAATAAGCTATAATATCATTATGAAAAGGATTAAGATATTATTTAGAATTCTAATTAAAAACGTTTTATTGATGAAGAGAGTTTGAAAGTGAGATAATCCCAATCGTATTTTTGCTGCGATTCCAACATCATGTGACTTCTAAGATGAATTTCAGGATATCACATACAAACAATTTGCCCGCTCTATTGATATATGTTCTTGGTGGATGGAAAATATCTAGGTCGCAGTAAAACGTTCGAAACACTCAATTATGTTGGACCTCAAGACTTGCGATACATTATGTTATTGTTTGCTGCGATCAAGACAGGCTATCAGGCTTCATATACTTCTCTTGATTAATTAATCTTAACATCTAATATAATCTATAATGTGGTTTATTAATGAATAGGTCATATTAGTGAATAGATCATTTCATTTTATATACAAAATTCGTTTGTATGTAATTGTGTACTTTCTTTATATAATAATATAATTTAAAGAAATTTGAAAATATTGAAATTTAATTATATAAATATTATAAAAATCTAATTATTTATTAAAAAATTAAATTATTATAATAGTTATTATAAAAATAACTTTTTTGTAACGAAAATCATAATAATTTCTACTTTTTTTTAGAATATAATAGAAATATTTAAAAAAAAAAACTAAATTTATAAAAAACTAATTTTTTATTGTTATTAAAATTTTTTTTTTTTTTTCAAAATAATAATTAATTATTAAAATAAGAATATTAAAAAAGGCTTAATTTTGATGTATTTTCAAGTGATTTGTTTATTGATATGATCTGCTCATTGATAAACTATGTTAGATGTTTTTTAATTTACTATAAAATACTCTTGAAGGAAATGTTGTAGTACTCAATCCATTCTTTGGAAGTCAAAATTCTCTCAGTCCCAGCAATATCACCAGCTATTACCCAAAGTCTTCTTTCCAAAAGAAAAATGCGTACATTAAAAGTACAAAATCTCCAGAACTTACTCGAATAATTCGTGCCATCGTACCCATACACCACAATCTTCAAAGAAGCAAGATATGAACCCTTCGTCGTTCTCCACACTTCCGGTTCAACCGGTACCCAAAAATACAGCATTCCAACTCACGGCACTATATCTCAACACGAGACTTTCCTCCTCCCACCACCACCCGGCCATCCACCCATCACTCTTTCCCTCTATCAAAATGTCCGAGTATTCATCGGGCTAGGCCTCTTCCACAGCGCAACCCTCTGTTTCACATCCTTTTGCATCTACTCAACCACCACCATCGTTCTCCCACCACCCATCCCCATGACACCCGAAATAGCCAATCTCGCCCATCTCCACGGAAACCTCGATGCAAGTTTTCTCAGTCCCTTTATTCTCACCCAAATCCCTAAAACCCCCAAATACCTAACCAAAATAAAAAATCTCCTCTATCTAAATTACAACGGTGAACCACTCTCCACCGAAATTGGAAACATTCTCAAATCCCACACTCGCCTTTTCGTCCATTTCGGCGCTACCGAAACGGGTTTCTACGCACTATAAACTATCGATCCCGAGGATTAGAAATACATGAAATTTAGTCCTATGATGGGTATTGAATTCCGTCTTCTCGCCAAAGATCTTTATAATTATATTTCATCCGCCAACCCAAGCTTACCTTATCTCAAGGTATATTTTGTACATTTCCTCATTTGGATAAATATTCGAGTAAAGGTTTATTTTCTAAACATCCAAATAAAGAAGGATTATGGCATTTTGAGGGCAGAACAGATGATGTGATTATTTGTTCCACGGGGGCGAATAGAACTCCCATTGGGATGGAGGGGTTAATGAATGCGCATCCTGTGGTCGAGGTAGCGATCATTTATAGTTCAGGAAGAATGCGGGGTTATTTGTTGGTGGAAGCGAGGGATCCACCGAGGGATGAAAAGGAGAAGGGGTTTTCAATTGAGGAAATTTGGGATACGGTTGAGAAGGGATATCGGAATGTACTAATTTGTGGAAAGAAAGTTAAGGAATTAATTCTATTCACGAAAACTGAGAAGCCGATGGTGAGGGCGGGGAGAGGAACGGTTTTGAGAAAGCTAACAGTGGAATTGTATAGGGAGGAATTGGATGATTTGTATTCTGCTCTTGAAGAATAATTTTCTTACTCGTATCGCTCGAAAAATCCAAGTTTGTTTTTTCTCTTCTAATTTGTATGAATTTTTTCCCTCTTATCTCTATATGTTAGCTCAAATTCTCAAAAATATGTTCCAAAACACCATCTTCCTCTTCATCATTGATCCGGAGATTATTTCTCCACCTAAGTAAGTGAGTCATGGCTCGATTGAATCCTTTATGGTAGATGGGAAAACTTGGGTAGATTTTTGGTATCTAGGCGTTGCGTATTCATAGGAGAATATCACTGCCCACGAAGCTGCAATACCATCATTCATCCAATTAAGTGATCCCCAAACTCACTTGTTCACACCTTCCTCACTGAACTTATACCTCCTCCATCTGATTCCAATATCTTCCACAAGTGAATTGATTTTTGATCTAAACACTCGTGCTTTCGGCGATTTAAGATTCAATTTGGGGTGGAATAAATCATTACGATTCTTTCAAGGGACAAAGTCGGGGAGATTATATTTAACACCTTCTACAATCTGCTTTACTTCACTCACAACTCACTTTCTATGCCTTCTCAGCTGGGAGATATTCGTACTGAAGCAATCACATTATCACTGGCACACTTTCATCACAATGAAGAAAAAAAGAAAGAAAGGAAGAAAAGAAAAAGACGATGGTATTTTGGAGCAGCTCGCATTTTGATGGAGAAACAATCCCAGGAGAAACTGATTATTTTGCCCCGGTCGTGCCAAAGTACATTCATGCTTGTTGGTCATTTTCCATAGAGGCTTGAAGTCCATCCCTAAAACCGTCTTCTGAGCGAATCCACCAGACAATCCGTCACTGAATGCTTTTCCTCCAAGGGCAGGCTTGATCTTTTCATAATTTTCTTTGCTGCGGCAAAATATCATCTGAAGTCATATTCTCTGTGCTTCTGAACTCGAAGACGGCAATTACGGGTATTCGAAGACACCGATGGTTGCTTGTCGCCACAGATTAATTTTTCGCTGCGATCCTCCGGGGAAAACGGAATGATAAAACTCCATACCACCAGTTTTGTGACGATGATGCCTATTCGCCATGATAGAAGACTGAAATAATTGAGGACACATAGGAAGAGTCCGCCAAGAGGCTCTTGCATACCATCTGAGATCGTCAAAGCAGTAATTCATAGCTTGAGCGTGCTTTCAGAAAAGACTTAAGCCGACATATGGTCATATTGCAACTCTCGTTGGATTGAACATGTACTCTGAAGTTTGAGAGGAGGTAGACCATCTTTTGAGGAAGGTGAACGCCAGTTCTTCAGATTCATATCGTTCTCGCTGACTGTCTCTTTTTTAAGTTTATGTTTCCTGTTAAGCGTTAGTAAGCTTTTACGACTTTCTAAAGCGATTCTCGCAACAACCTCAAGTGAAAAGAAAAGGGAAAAGGAAGGAGGAACGGTAACAAGTGACAAAGACGCAACGAGGAAGCATACTAGCATCAGCTATTCTTTACCTTACAACAAACATTGCTTTATCGCTAGCATATCCTCCACCTTCTTATAATTTTCCTTTAACTTCATCGATCTTAGATGCATTGATCCGGAGTAGAAGTTCCGCTTCGTCAACCATAGGAATAGAAAGTTCCAGAATCAATTCCGGCCAGATCCCCTGAGTCCACGCGAATGACTGTCAGTAATCCGATTCCGGGTAATTCCATATGGGCGTGGCGAAAATGCAGCGATATCTTGACTATTGGTGAAGATTGCCCGATCCCTCTCCATTTTATGATTTTTCTCCAGACCTCCTCGTACATTTTTGTCCCTCCAAGCGGAGCATGATTATTAGAGTAAAACCTTCTAGGCCTAGGTAGGCAGAGCCGCCGACAGACTAGCAGTTCCATTCCCAGCAATAGCTCATACCTATATGTTGGATATAGGTTGGCTTGGGTGTTTGTTGGTCCTTACGGATAAGATCGTTAAGCAAAGCCGTGTAGCTTCTGTACCTTGCTATTGGTTCTTGTTAGCAGATCATCATAAGTATGGAAAAATCATCAAAGCGAAGAAAAACTTTCAGGCTTTCAAAAACATATGCGAGACTTTCTTACAAGGCATCAAAGAATGCACGCCTAAAGGCGGCTGGGGGGAATGACATTCACTTTTCTACAATTTGTGGATCTATTTACATGGCCTCAATCACCTACATCTCAATTAAAATTAGGGGACTCGCTCCCTTTTCTTTTTCGTTCGCAATCAAGAGCCAACCTTTTTGGAGAATAGAAAAAACGAAAGACTTGTATTAAACCATTCGTATTATCCACCATCTTCTTCCAAAGCCACCCAAACTCATGGTAATGACCATTCTCCATATATGATGAGTGGTTCGGTGAGTGCGACTGGTGCTTGTATTGTTGCAGTACGCAGGGTATGTAGATTGAGGAACTCCTCGTTGTGTATTCCCTGTTGGTCTCATTTCATGTCAGCACTGGAATGCGGATTGAACCATAGAATTCAAGCTCAAAACTTACACACTTGACATGTCATATCCAGGAGGACAGTGCTAGTCCCGAGGTCTATAAACCCAGACTTGAGCCTCTTCAAAGATCCCCGGTCTTGCACAGATGCGTGATGATTGACCAGTGTCGAATTGTCTCTGGTCTTTCTACAGACTTATCCGCAGTAAGCAAAGTCGTGTACCTCAAGTCTTGTATCAAAGCTCAGATTCTGTCATTAGGAATAAACCCGAGAAGTCTCTCTGCCATCACCTTTTCAATGGTGGATGTTGCCGTGACATATGAAAGGATATATGGTTGTCGACGGTCATTCTACTCTGTAGGCGTCAGTACCTCTCTAAGTCACGTTTTGGTCACGACAATGGGTATGAAATTCTTACAAATTAATAATCAGTTCTCTTTTGTAATTCTGTCGAAGCTTTGTTAAAAATATACAGAATGAATCTGCGGAATTGCTCTTGCACGGCTTCGAAAGAAGAAAATTGTTGGCTTGATTTTTATGTTTGTCGAACAAAGATGGTGTAACGGGGGAGGACGAAAAGCAAGTTGGCCATTACCACCAGTGTTGAACTGGGTATCCATATCTCCCACTCTTGATTCTGCGCCTAAAATTCCATGAGAAACCGTTAGCATAGCTCGATCTTCAGGTGATATGATGTAATGATAATGGATCTTACCTCTCTTGCCCTTACCAAGAAGGCATATCGGATTTTCCAGAATCATTTGGAAATCTTCGATTGGGTTATTCTTCAATTTAGAAAGATCTACCCAAGGGACTGAAAGGAAGAGGGACCTCTATCGGTTTGTGGATGATTTTCTTTGGTTTGAACAACCTTCTGAGTTTGGCTTTCAAGGGAACCCTCTTCCTGATTTTCCTAGTCAGTCCCTGGGGTAGTAAGTGAAGCTTGAGTAGGCATTGTCATTGTCTTTGTCTGCGAATTTGACTTCACTGCTCTTTTTAGAGCTATTTTTACCTCTCGTGTTGGTTCTAAAGCGGTGCCCATGAAGGCATTCCAATCCTATTGAAAATTATCAGTAAACTTCATGGATTTAGATCTAACCGTTTTAGCGATCAATTGAACGTGGTAAGAAAGATTAATGTGATGATCACTTACTTCAGAACCGACACGAAAGCGAGACCTTCTCACTATTCCGATGACTTCTGCTTTTTCAAGCATGCTCTGAGAGAGCTGTAACTTCCAAATATGAAGTGTAAGAATGATAATGAGAAGGAGAATGAATAGGACGTTCGAATTTTTTACTTCTGGGTGTAAAATCGATGATGGCTAAGCATGAATAATCTTAGATTCAGGAAAATTGAATGATAAGTGTGACCAGGCTGAGTTTGAAGGTCACGATATTTCGCTTATTCTAAAATACAGTACTTATCCAGATCATGCCCAATTTATTTTCACTTCGAATTTTCTTTTAGCTTTTCCCACAAAAGTTCAATTTGTTAAATCTGAGATACTTCTTGTTTCTTTCAACTTTTTGCAATAATTCAATTGATGAATTGAACCAAAGGCAGGTAAGTCCTCTCTACTTGTACACTGCTCCTATATGAGCATCAAACTGATTACTTTGAAAGCTGGGATGTCTTCACGATCTGAGCTTCGAAACCCAAAAAGGCATTGTAAGATTACAGGGTGTGGCAGGTTGAATTGGCCCACGACAACCGTAAAGTCAGTCACCTCTTCTTTTCATCGCAGTATCGAACCTTTTCGGCAGTTCACGAATTCAACTGACGTCGCCTTTCAATTTCCAATACTTGCTTCGGAACAAAAACTTATGAACTGCATAGATCGTCGCTCCAAGTTCGGTTCAATCAATGGTTCTGACCGTTATGAAACCAACCTTTCCGCCAAGACTATCAGCATCCTTATAGCCAAGAATGTACGCAATAACTTAAACTGGAGCGCGATTTCATATTCTTA